CTCCCAACTACTACACTAATGAAACAGCATAATGAAATAAGAGAGAGTGTGGCAGGCCAAAAATCCTAATAGGGATATAACTGCAGGCCTTGTTCTAGAGCAGGGGTCTCCAAACTTGGCAAATTTAAGACTTGTGGACTTCAACCCCCAGAATTCCTCAGCCAGCTTAAATTTAATAAAATATTATTCTAATTAAACAGAAGCAAAACTAAGCAGGATCCATTCCATATGAATTGTTTATTCATATGCAGAGCTATCTTATGTGGGCTATAAAAATAGCAATAGCAATAGCAGTTAAACTTATATACCGCTTCATAGGGCTTTCAGCCCTCTCTAAGCGGTTTACAGAGTCAGCATATTGCCCCCAACAACAATCCGGGTCCGGGTCATTTTACTCACCTCGGAAGGATGGAAGGCTGAGTCAACCTTGAGCCGGTGAGATTTGAACCGCCGAACTGCAGCTAAAGTGGCTGCAGTACTGCACTCTAACCACTGCGCCACCTAGGCTCCTGAGCGGTGGTGTCAAACTCGATTTCATTGAGGGCCACATCAGGGTTCTGTTTGACCACAGGGGCCAGGTGGGTGTGGCCAGGGTAGGCGTGGCCAGCTTGCCATCACTCGTCTCTGTTTTTGGCGGCGACGACCTCCTGCAGTGCTCTGCCAGCGAAAACAGAGCTCAGGAGGTCTGCCCTCTCGAGCTCCTTTTTCACTGGCAGATTGCTGCAGGAGGCTGTCGCAGCTGAAAACGGAACTCGGGAGGGCTGTGCATGGCCCTCCAGACCTCCATTTTCATGGGCAGAGGCACCATGGGTCGGTCCTTTGCTGTTTCCAGGATGGCCCTGTGGGTCAGATCTAAGCACCCCACAGGCCAGATTCATCCCACAGGCACCCCTGATCTAGAGGAACACCAGGCAGCAGCAAATTGGTTTTTCTGATTCTCTTGGTGATCCTCTAATCAGAGGTCTTCAAATTTGGCATCTTTAAAACTTGTGGACTTCAATGCCCACAATTCCTCAGCCACCAGGAGATGAAGTTCACAAGGTCAAAGTTGTCAAGTTTGGAGACCCCTGTTCTAGAAGATCACAGAAAAACCAATTCTTGTGCTATCTAGTGTTCCTCTAGAACAGTTCTCCATACTCCGGGGTGACAGGTAAGTCACTCATTTTTGGGGAAGCCTAGGTCAAAACACACTGGTCTGGCATAGTGTAGGGCAGGGGGTGTCAAACCTGATTTCATTGAGAGCCCAACGAAAGTTGTGTTTGACTTCAGGGGTCAGGGTGGGCGTGGCCAGCTCAATGTCAGTTGTGTTGGAGGCACCTATGGGGGCCTGAGTACTCGGCCAGCAAAAACAGGTTCCCAATCTCCGTTTTCAGCTGCGACAGCCACCTGCAACCTTCCGCCAGTGAAAACGAAGCTCGCGAAAGCCATATGCAGCCCTCCCGAGCTCCGTTTTCGCTGGCAGAGGCACTGCAGGCCGGTCGTTTGCTATTTCAAGAGTGGCCACGCACGTCAGATCTAAACACCCCATGGGCCGGATCCAGCCCCTGGGCCTTGAGTTTGACACCCCTGGTGTAGGGTCTCCGAAGTAGGTAAGTAAGGAGGGGGTTGGACTAGAAGACCTCCAAGGTCCCTTCCAGCTCTGTTATTCTGTTCTTCTCTGCAGATCATTCCGAAGGGTGGTTTTTAGACTGGGTTGAGGTGGACGCTTCGTGCCTCGGACTTTGCCTGAAATTTCCTTGCGGTCGTTGGCTGGATAAATCTGAAGATGACGGAGCGATTGAAAGGGTCTTGTTTCCTGCAGAACTTCAAACGGTGACTTATACTCCATGTGAGTAGCCAGATCAACCTGCATTAGGTCTGAAAGTTACGGGTAGTCCTCGACTTACAACAGTTCATTTAGTGACTGTTCAAAGTTACAACGGCACTGAAAAAAGCGACTGATGATATTTTTCACACTTACGACCTCTGCAGCAGCCCCAAAATTCAGACGTTTGGCAGCTGACTCGTATTTATGACTGTTGCAGTGTCATAAGGTTATAGGATCCCCTTTTGTGACCTTCAGACAAGCAAGGGGGAAGCCAGATTCCCTTATTGACCAAATGATTCACTTAACCGCTGCAGTGATTCATTACTGTATTTTTCGGAGTATAAGATGCACCCTTTTCCCTCAAAAAAGAGGCAGAAAATCTAGGTGCGTCTTATACACTGAATACAGCATTTTTTGCCTCCTGAAACCCCACCCCTTTCACCAAAATGGCTGTGCAGAGCCTTTAGGAGGCTTCCAAAGTGCTCCTGGGGGCTGGGGAGGGCAGAAATGAGCAAAAAATGGACCAGTTTTTGCTCAATTCCCCCCCCCCCCCCCCC